TCCCATTCCTTCTCAATGTTTATATGGAAAACAGGAAGAAAGGAAGGCTCACCTGAGCTGGAGGGTTATGGCCAGAAAAATAACGTTCATCGTTGGTTGTTTTTTTTTTTTAAATAGATGACCTCACGATGTCATTTTCTTCACCCGCTTCACGGCAAGTAAAGCCTCGCCGTGGCGCGATCCATAACTTTCAAAAGCTCATCATACGCAGGGCAGGAGGATTGGGAAAGCTCAGCCTCAGCTTCTTGTCCTCTTCAGACATTTTCCTGCTTTCCAGCAGAGCACTGGCCCCTGGATCAGACAATGTTAATGAAATAACATCATCCTCCAGCGGCTCACTCTCGTCCACAGCCGACAATCGCGAAAGGGAAACCCCCCTTCAAACTCATCGGCCAGATCCACCTGCAATCCCCACGAGTTCATCCCCTTCCATGCCTCAACAGCGGCGGATCCTGAATCGCGGGAAGCAGATGTCTGCCCCTCTTTCCTTGAAAAGAGAGACAAACGAGAGCGGAGCTTTTTCCTTGAAAAAAAAACGCTCGCGGTGCACGCCGATTGCCCCCTCGGAGGCATCGCGTGCGTGCTCTTCGCCCAAACAAATAACGCATAGATCGTGTGTGTCATCAGATGTTAAACAATGACAACACAGATGCACACATCCTCTAAATGCTTTGCTAGTGCTCGCCATAATGATATGAATAGAGATCGCTCTTACCACAGAAATGCACGCTTCAAACAAAACAGTCAATGAAGACGAAGAAGAGGATGATGTGTTCTCCCGGTGCCTATTTATTCTATAGTCGCGCCGGTAGTGACGTCATGGCTGTCGCCGGCCAACGTGTTGTTGGTGTTTTTTCAATGTATGCTTCAGACACGGGTCACGACGAGGCGTTCCCCCATAGCGACCCCTAGAGGACGCAGTTCGAAGTTCCCATGAAAGGGAACTATTTTTATTTTTCTGACCCCACTGACAGATTTTTTTTTGTCTTGTTTAAAGCATAAACTCACTTCATTTTGATATATTTTCAAGTATCTTAACTTAAGAATGTTTAGGTAATGAAAAATGACAAAAATACAAAGAAAGAAAAATACACTTTTCTGCTCTGCTTATATGGGAGAAAATGATTAGGGTTCACGTTAAAAGATGAACCCATTTTTTAGGCTTTATGAGACATAAGTGAACGACAATGAATAAATGTGCTTTAAAGAGTTCATGTCGATTTCATGTTT